ACCCTACCCTTGTGAAAATGTTCGGTAATTGCAATCTGTATATAATAACCCCAACCCGTGTTGTAAGGTGAAAAAAATTTTACAAAATGTACACTTCAATATTATAAGTCAAATTGAAAAAATCGCATGCGATAAAAAATATGAAAAAATAAAAAATGTCACAAAATTCTACAAAATCTATAATAACACCATTATTGGCCTATCTTTATGCGATTTTTTTGGATTTTATTCTCTTATACCAAGAGGGCACTCTGAAGTGTCAAAATTTGTCAAAATCGGTCCACCCATTCTTGAGATATAAGTATTCTAGCTAACATCCCCTTCCTTTGTACATATTTCGCTATATATATCCGATATATTTACTATGGACATCTACGTAACAGTCAGAATTGACCTGTTCGTCTATTTGTGATTTCGCCGGCATTAAAAATATTCGCGGTTTAATGAAAAATTTGACTTTTATTTAATACAAATGTTATGGTCTATTTCAACCACCAAATATTACCCGATGACCATCAAAATTGGAAGACTTCTGCCCAGCCCTTAGCTCTAGCCCCATTTTAACTTTCGCGTCGGTTGGTCTATAACTGCGACCTGTAGAGCAACTGCAAAAACAGGAAATTTTTCAGTATTTGGTCCATTTCAACCCCTAAATATTATGCGATCATCTCCAAAAGCAATAGGGTTCTATTCTGGCCCAAACCCCACCACCATTCTAAATTTCGTGAAGATCGGGCCATAATTGCGACCTGTAGAGTGATTACAAATTAACATCGACAGACGGACGGACGGACATACATAGCTAGATCGACTCAGCTCGGCGAGATAAGAAGATCCATATATACTTTCCTATGCGGGAAACCAATATTTCGTGGTGTTACATAATTTTTGGCCCAATCAAACTTATAATACCCCAACACATAGTGTTGTAGGGTATAAAAACAAGTTAATAGGTATATGTCGGTTTTGCCGACAGATATATACCCTCAGCCAATGTACGATTATTTAAAAATATTTTGACTTCTGTTATGATTATTCAAATGTTTAACCCCACGAGTGAGGAATGTGCCAATATTGGCCATTTCGTATCGAACCTAAATAAAAATGATATAAATATTGCGACGTTCCAGGTTTGGGCTATATTGGTAACTTCCTTCACTTTACATGAGATATGTGCTCATTTTTAGAAAATGTTAAAATGTGCGTGAGGTACCACCGACCGAAGTATTCCATTTTCATGTTTCATCTAATACATATAAAAATATTGGTATGCGCAATATTACAAAAGAACCGAACATTTATATCCAAGTTTATGCAGAGCAAGACCTATTTATAAATTTTAGGAAATGCAATGAGATGGATATCCCACGATGAACAGCATGAGTTTTTGAGGAATGTTTCAGGATAAGCATCTTTAGTTGTGCAACTTGTTATTTATATTTCGGGAGGGAATAAATAACCTGACGAAGAGATTTCGTCTGCTAGTTTTGCATACACACGGGAATTTCTACTAGTTATAGAATTCCTCTAATTTTAATAGTGACTCTTTCACACGTGTGACCACCGTTTCCATATTTACTTTCTCTGGGATAAAACAGTGATGCATCTTGATTTTGAACAAATCGTTATAAAGAGTGAATTTAATTTTCTATGGCAAATCTTGGTGATTTAACTGGATTTAGCACTTAAATGGCCTTTAGTCTTAACGTATTTTTTATCTTCATGAGTATGAGTGATACACAAAATGTCCCTGCAAAATCTAAAAACCTCCAAAATCTAAAAATCTTTCTTAGTTTGAAATCAAATATCATCAAAATACCGAACAAAGGGAGGTACCGTTATATGTGGGGTATATGAAGATGGACATGGACCTTTGTAGACAATTTGAAGTATCCATTACGAACTTTAAATACGAAATATGAAACCATTCCGGTCTATAATGTCGGTAAAATTATCAACATACCGAATATCGGGAGGTACCGTTATATGGGGGCAAATCGAATACGTAGACCGACATGATCCATTTACGAACTTAACTTCATTGGCAAAATACACATGTGTGCGAAATTGTAGCCTATATCAATTCGTTCGAAAGATAGCGTGATTAGGATAGACAGACGGACACCGCTAAATCGACTTAGAATTTTATGCTGATCAAGAATATAAATACTTCGTTGTGTCTAACATAAGTATTTCGAGGAGTTATATAGAATGGTGGTGGGTATAAAAAATAATAGATTACCAAGAGAGCTTCTCAAAGAAACCATTAAAGAAAGTCCTAAAGTCGGGCGGGACCGACTTTATGATACCCTACACCACTTTGCTAATTTAGTAGAGCTCCACATAACAATTAAAAGATTTTTTGGGCGAGAATTCAATCATACACGATATGATTATAATTATAATTTAAAGTTCAAAGGACTAAATATGCCGAAGCATTTGTATCTTTTAAATTCGGACTTGTATTGCCCATTTGAAATCAGATAAAGATATATATGGGAGCTATATCCAAATCTGAACCGATCTCGATAAAATTTGGCAAAGACATTTCTGAGCTGTATTTGATATACTTCCCCGAATATCGTTGTTACGGAGTGCATATTACGGCAGTGGGTAACAAATATAACAAATCGGATGAACAATATAGCTATATCTGAACCGATCTTCACCAAATTTGGCATGCTACCTTCTGGACTCAATTCGATCGTATGTGCCAAATTTTATCCCATTTGGGCAAATATTAGACGTTTGGTGCACAATAAAAGGTAAATCGGACAAAGTTATATATGGGAGCTATATCCAAATCTGAACCGATTTCGATAAAATTTAGTAAAGGTATTTCTGAGCTGCATTTGATATATTTCTCCAAATATTGTTGCTACAGAGTGCATATTACGGCTGCGGAGGACAAAAATAACAAATCGGATGAACAATATATATGGGAGCTATAGCTATATCTGAAGCGATTTCGATCAAATTTGGCATACTTATTTTCAGGCCTAATTTTGTTGTATGTGCAAAATTCCATACTATTCGGGCTGATATTATACGTTTGGTGCACTATGAAAGGCAAATCGGACGAAGATATATATGGGAGATATATCTAAATTTTTACCGACTATCTCCAATTTCAATAGGGTTCGTCCTTGGGCCAAACAAATGATTTGTGCAAAATTTTTATCTCAATCGGATAATAAATGCGATCTGCATTTTGTTCACAAGAATACTTGGACAGTCGGACGGACGGACGGACTGACATGCATAAATCAACTCAGGAAGTGATTCTATTGAGATCCTCAAAAGTAACTATGGGTCTATCTCGCTTCCTTCTCCATGTTACAAACAAATGCACAAATACATAATACCCTTACCACTATGTGGTGTAAATAGAATAGAATAGCACTAAAAAATATAAATTTAATTCAATCTGAACTTTCAATTTTTTTAATAACAAGTAAGCAAAGGCTACAGTCGAGCGGGGCCGACCGTTGAATACCCTACCATACAGTTTATATAGGCGAGATACTCGAAAGAACTCCACAAGTTATTGTGACAAATAATAAAAGAAAACCATCATGTTTCGTTCTCTAATTTTCGAATAATAGCAACTTAAACGAATTTGCCCATTTCCAATTTATTGGTAGATGTTGCAGGTAAATGGTTTTCCTAGATCTGGAACCAATATTTCCCAAAGACCTATAATCTCTCAGAAGTGGCAAAAGATTAACATTTATTATTGGGTTTTGACTGAAACGCATCTATATGAGATACAGACATTTGACTATGTTCTTCAACGAAGTCAGCGTTAACGAAATAGTCAGAAGTGCGTCTTTCCTGTATTTGTGAATTCTCCAAAAAGTCACTGGAAAGGACATTTTCGTATTTTGTCTACAAAAGTTGGCAAACTATTTCACACATTGAATATTTTTGGATGGCCATCCGAAACTGCTTGGCTTTTGCAATGTGCGGTAACCCCCATTCAAATGTGCGTGAGGATCGGGCGATAAATATATATCGATCATCTCCAAAAAGAGTAGGCATTTATTCTGACCCTCATCTTATCCCCATGCAAAATTTCGTAAGGATCGGGCCATAAATGCGATTTGTATATGATATCCTGATATCCTAACTACTTAGTTTTGTTAGCTGTAGAAACATTACCAAATGTTTAAATCAAAATGCAAATTTGCCAAAAATATGAAAAAATTGAAAAAAATATGAGAAATGTTACAAAACCAATATTTTTTTTTATCTATAAAGAGACATTTTTATGCGATTTTTTAGACGTTTTTTCTTTCCTGCCAAGAGGCCATTCCGAATTAATGAGAACTGTCGAAATCAGTTCAGCTGTTCTCGACATATAAGAGATCTTACAAGCATATCTTCCTTGATAGACATATATATCGCACATGTTTTGCTATATATCCGATTTGTTGGATGTTAACATCAATGTAAAGGTCAGAAGTAACCTTGTCATGACTTTGTGATTTCGCCGGGATTAAAAAAATTCACGGTTTAATTTTTTCAACACAAAAGATGTGGTCTATTTTACCCGCTAAATATTATCCGATGACCACCCAAATTGGTAGGCTTCTTCCCCGCCTTAAACTCTAGCTACATGCGTCGATTGGTCTATAATTGCGACCTATATAGCTACAGCAAAATCCGACATTTTTCAGTATTTGGTCCATTTCAACCCCTAAACATTTGGCGATCATCTCCAATTCTGACCCTAACCCCACCTTCGTGCAAAATTTCGTAAGGATCGGGCCATAATTGCGACCTGTAGCGTGATTACAAATTAACATAGACAGACGAACAGACGGACGGACGGACATACATAGCTAGATCGACTCAGCTCGGCGAGCTAGGAAGATCTATATATACTTTCCTATATGGGAAACCAATATTTCGAGGTGTTACATAAATTCTGGCCCAATCAAACTTATAATACCCCCACACATAGTGTTGTAGGGTATAAAAATACAGAGTCAAGAATATTTATTTTTTTTATAAATTTATTCTTATTTATCAAATAAACGATTAATATTATTATAATTATATTATTTATTTTATACAAAATACAAATACAATATTCAAATTGGGCTAAATTTGATTTTCGATAACATTCCACACTTATATTTTTTGTTCTTCTAAAATACTGGGGGGTTATAATAGAAGGCCGATCAAAACGAATTTCTCTTTCCTGTTTTAGGTGGTGCGGAGTAAGGGTTCATAATCACTTGTATCCAATCACACATACATTCAACATAAATACATAACTAACATTATACGAATAAAGTTCCATTTGTTGTAACTTAAATTAACAAAACATTATTTAGAGAGGAGGAGAGAAATGAGAGAAGAGATATTTTGGGGGTTGGGGGTTAGGAAATCATAGGGACGCAGTGGGAGTAAGCTATTCATTATACAATTTATATAGTTTAGAATATATTTGACAACATTACACATCTCAATATTGTGGGAGGATCGCTCGATCGCTCGATCTCTCCCTGAATGTAGATTAACTTTACAAACAAAAAACAAACTGGCTACCATGCTCTCATTTTGTTTCTCCATGAAGCAACAAATCATTTCCTTAGGGGATCCAAACTTTCCAAAGTGAAATCATCTACAGAGATTTTACTCAGTTTCTGGGGGAAAATACTTTGATGGTGGGTGCCAGTGTTGGATGTATCAAAGGGATCCGAACCAAAAAGATCGGCAAGATTGTTATTGTTGGTTGTAATGTTGCCATTGGTCAATAAATTGTTAATGGCATTTGGTGAAGTGCTATTGTTGCTGTTGGTTACCGAGGTACTGCGACGTGAGGCCGATACTTTGGGTGGTGGAGCCACTGAAAATAAGGGAAAAATTAAATTTTAAAATTGATTCCTTGGGGGTATCCGATTTTTAACTACTTACACAATGGTGGTGTTATGGTCAATTCACTGAATGTGTTATTACTAATAATGCTGGTATTGTTGTTGTTGTTATTGTTATTATGGAATTTATTATCATTGTTGTTATAGAACAATTGTTGGCCAAACGAATTGGATGGCTCGAAGCCAAACAAATCATTACTTATATTTTTACCACTACCAGTGCTATTGCCATCTGTTGACTCCTCTGCACGTGGGTCAAAATCACTATCCGAATCGGAATTCAATAATAGCTCTTCCATTTTTTGGGCATTATTATTCATGGACTTGGTGTTGGCGTTGTTGTTGTTACGTGGCGGTACAGCGGGTAAGAATAGCGATGATTTCAAGGAGTTTGATGAATTCGAATTGGTATCAATCAACAGGGTCTTATCATCGTGATTTGTTAGACCATTCGAACCATTGGTAAGATTCTGAGTGGACACATCACCATTTGTGGTAATAGTCTGTGCTGGTACTTCCAGAATATCTTTGATATTTTGTTTAAACAAATAGGCATCCAAATCTGATTTGGCCAATTTTGCAGAGAGATCTCTCAGCCGATTCTTGTAGATATTTACAGTTTTCTCCAAATCGGCAATCTGTTGCTGGGCCTTACCCAGTTCTGTTTTTTCCGTGGAGCTGACATATTTTCTGAAATCATTGAAAGAGAGGAGAGTCATTAGTAATGTAAAAATTGTGCTAAATTTAAAGTACTAGAAGAGTTTTCAATGGAGGACTTGAAAGCCTTTAAAGAAGAGACCAGAAAGTCTTCCAGTAGAGATGTGCAGCTGGGCTAATAAGAGAAACCTGCCTCATTCCATGACAGTACCAACCGGTCTAGAATAAATTGGCCAACTGGTGTTGTATGAAAAGACCAACTGAGTTTGTAAGAGAAGACTTACTGGGTTTCTATGAGAATGCCAACTGGTCTTCTATGAGAAAAACAAATGGGTTTTTAAGGGAAGAACAAATGGACTTCTATGAGAAGGCCAACTGTTCTTCTATGAGGAGACATTTTGTTCTTCTATGAGAAGACTAAATGTTCTTCTATGAGAATACCAACTGTTCTTCTACGATAAGGTCAACAGGGCTTTTTTGAGAAAACCTTCACAGAAGACGAAGTGAACTATTATCAGAAGATCAACTAAGCATTTATAAGATGACTAGATGGGCTTTTAAGTCTTTGGTTCGGTCTTCTAAGAAAAAAACCTTCCGGAATTTTTAAATGAGAAAACAGTTTGTTCAATGAAGATTAATCTATGAAGATTGTAATTTACAGGCAAAAATACAGTCTTCTATGAAGGAGGCCATTTTCTATTATTAAAGGAAGATACATTTTTTGTTGAAGAAGAACATTTGGCTTTCTATAAGTAATATCGCCCGATCCTCTATAAATATTATAATTTTTTCTTTGAAGGAATCCACATAAGGAATTCATAAGGAAGACCAACTGCTCTTCTTTGAGAAGGCCCTATGCAAGTCTCCAAGTTTTTTCCATTTAACAATTCTCCTATTTATCAGAACTCCATCTGATATTCTATGAAACTTTCTTAGCTTATAAAACGGAACCCAAGTTGTTTCCTTTTACAGGACTCATTTCTTCAAAGCTTAAAAACAAAAACTCACCTAAATGCCAATTCAAATGCCTGACCAATGGTCAATGTGATATCCGATGCCAACTTATTCGATATGAACACAAAACACTCGTGTGTATCCTCGGCAGTCGATGAGGATTGTGTTGAACCATCGGGACTACTGCCACGGCCGTTCGAAGTGTTATCTCCCGATGTTGGTTTCACAGTTTTTGCAATAAAACTAAAGAATTTCTTGACACCCTTCTCGTCGGCACAATACGAGATATTGTGCAATGGGAATTGATGTAGAATCTTTTGGGTGCGGGGCTCCTGCACCGCTACACCATCTACACTAATAGTGATTTCGACTTTCTTGAATTTCTCTTGAGTACCCGTTTCGGCTTTTTTCATTTGTTGGGCAAATTGCAGTTTGCGTATGGTATCCTTGACGACTTCAATGCCCTTGGGCTGGTCAACCGGGACATTGCCAAAGAACTGGAATCGGGAAAAAAAATTAAGATAAGATTAGTTGAAAGTCTAAAATGTTTTTATATGAGAGGAGCTTGCCTTGACTAGATAGACAACATGACCATTTATAAGGGCTTCGGGTGTGTGCAACCAGTTGCGTTTTCCTGCCTTCGAATCCTCTTTGTTAGCACCATTTTTAGTTTCAGTCACTTCAGCATCCTTATCTTTGTCCTTGCTTGTGTTGTTGTTCTGCTTGTTCCAAAATTTTAATTGTGATATTTTTGCTGTCTTCTCCATTCTGTGGACTGACTAAACGATCAACGTTTCGAATTGAGTAAGTTATATCTAGAAATAATAAGAAAAGAAACAAACGTTAAATTTTTGGTTACGTTCCCAATAATTTTTAAACGCTATATTTTATAGATATACTAAACAATGTAATATAATCTACACATATTATATTTATATAACTCTTATGCTTTGAGTATATTAATATACACTATACTACACTTTCTTTCAGATAACAAATTGTGTAAAGCGCCTTAAAGTATGTTATAAAAATGCTAAAATAAATGTGGAAAAAGTAGCTTTACATAAGACTCTAACATTTGGTCTGTTCCAGAACTGAAAGAATGTAAAAGTATTCACTACGACAACCGATTTTCCCTTTATGATAACGAAACAAATTTTAAAACTAGTAGATTCTTGCGGGTACTTGAACAGAGCAATTAGATATTTACTAGTCTTCTCTGAGCAAAAACTTGCAAAAAAGTACAACATCCAGTAAAAAATGTAATTTAATGGACATTTTGGAACAAGTTTCTAAAAAAAGTCTTTGAAAAATTCATCTACTGGAAAAAACTTTAGTGAATACATGTTTTAGTATTTTTTTCATTTATTTATTTTTTTATTTATTTTCAATTAGTACAGAAACCTAGCCGACAGGGCCATGGACGGTTCAAAAAACTTCTATACATGACTACTCTAAATTAATTATAATATCCTTAATCCTAAAAGAATTACTTAAAATTAAACACTAAAACAAATTAACAAAAAATGAATAAAATTAACAATTGATTGATGGTTCCAAGAACTCCTATACATGACTACTCAAAACTATTCATAACATCCTTAATCTTAAAAATAACATTAAAAAAATAACAAAAAAAAAAAGATTAGCAAAAATCACAATTCATTGAAGATTTAGATAAATCAACTATGCAAGGAAAAAACAAATTAACACAAGAAAACTATATATTTTAAACAATATTGAAATGAGCATATAATTTACGCTTATAACATTTTAGGGAAGAATTGAATGTCTTAAGATTAGGTGGCAGATTGTTGAAAATGCGAGCAATTCTTACATAGAAGGATTTTTCCAACAGAGGAGTCAAGCGTGGTATAACAATTTGCAGGTTCCTTACAGATCTCGAAAACTTAAAAAGGTCCAAAAGAGTAGAAGATGTCCTCAATTTAAAATGTTTGTAGAAGAACAACATTGACCTTAAATTCACAAAACACTCAAACGAACAACCAAGAAACTCTTTCACAGAAGGAGATATATGATCACGACGTTTGACACAAAAAACATATCGCATTACTCTATGAAACAATAGTTTTAACTTACGAAAAACAAAACCGTAGCTACCCCCAAAAATCTCAATACAATATAAAAAGTGAGGCATTATTAATGCATGTACCAACTGAATTCTAATCTTCTTAGGCAAAACTATGTCCAAGCAATACAACTTCTTTAAAATAAAGTTAACTTTGGACACTAAAGAATTCACATGCACATCAAACACCAAACCAGAATCAAGAAACAAACCAAGACATTTCATCGAGCTTACAACATTTATAGGCGTCCTATAAATGGAAACTCTAATTGAATCCTCTTGCAAGTTCCCAAAAAACATAACTTTAGATTTTTGAGTATTTATTGAGAGACCGTTACAGGACAACCAAGTTACCAACATATTAATATTAAAATCAATTGACGACTGCAACACATCCATAAACACATATTCTCCTTTAAACAAAATTTGAATGTCATCAGCAAATGCAAACGACATACAATTCCTACCATTAATACAACTCAGCAAATCATTAACATACATAACGAACAATAGAGGGCCAAGAACAGATTCCTGTGGCACACCACTACTCACTGATTTTTTTGATTCCTGTAAAATTTCGTACAAATGATTATAAAATATTAAAAAAAAACCTCTTGGAATGCCCTCTATGTACAGCGGTGAGCTAACTCTAGAAGACAAATAAGTGTTTTTTAGTGCCTAGAAGTCATATAAAATATCATGTAATCTTTCATATGAAGACAAAATTTTGGTTTTTCTGTAAGGAAACCATTTGCTCATCTATGAAACCATCTGATCTTCTATGAATAAAACCATATGCTCATCTGTGTGGAAGATCAACGCCTCGTCTGCAAGAAACCATTTTGTGTCCAGAACACTTGTGAAAAATTGAAAATATTTTTGCTGGATCCCAACGTTTCAAAGAAAACTCCACAAATGTCATTATTACCCATGCTCTGTTCCGGATGCTGGAGGAATGTAAAACATCTTACTACGATAAGCGATTTTGATACGGCCAAAACGTGTCTCATTGAAATAACGGTTTTAGACCTTAGCTCTCTTTGGAACAAATCCGTTTCAGAAAATTTGGAGTCGATCTAGCGATGTCCGTCCTTCCGTCCGTCTGTTTGTCTGGCTGGTGAGCACGATAACTCTTGAAGCGAGCTTCCGATTTGGTCCAAACTTAGTGAATCGTAATATTATTATCAAACTTAGATCGAGTTTGGAGATGGGCAAAATCGCTTCGCGAGTGAGGCCTCGCCTCCACCCCTCTCACAAAAGGGCACAATTTTTAAAGAAAATAATCTACCCCATAGTAAGAGAAAGGATAATTCGATTTTGTGCAAACTTTGCACATCCCAATATTTTTGCCAGTGCTAGGTTAGGTGCTAAAATGGACAATATAGGTTCACTCCATCAAGTACCTCACCCACAAAGGGGCCAAATTTTGAATAACCATGAAGCTCGTAAATCTCGAAAAGAGGCTTTTCAAATTTCACACATCCCAAAACTTCTACTTAAACAAGATCTGGTGTGAAGATGGTAGATATCGGACCACTCCTTCTGATAACTCCCCACATAGGTTAAAAACTTTAAATAATCATAACTATTATAAAATTTGAGCTAAGTCTCTGATCATCTTCGGCTTTCGCGAATTTCAATAATTCTACTAACACAAGGTCTGGTATGAAGATCGGATTGAACGGACCACTCCTTCCTTCCACAACGGGTCAAAATTTGAAATAACCACGAAGCTCATAAACGCAAAATGACCATACGATTACCCTTGTAAAATGTGATGTAAGTGTCCGATTGTCTCTAAATTACAGACATCACATTATTTCTACTAACATAAGATATGTAGTGAAGATGGTCCACTCCTTCTGGTACCTACCCACAAAGGATTAAAATTTTGAATGTCCATGAAAACCCATAAAAAGCGGAATTAACATCCGATTCCATTCAGACTTGGTACATCTCAATCTTTCCATCAAAATAAGATCTGTCATAAAGATGGTACAGATCGCACCATTTCTTCTGGTGCCTCCCCACATGTGGTTCAAGATTTTGAAAAAAAAGCAAACGCTCAAAGCATCCCACTCTCCAATTTCACACAAGATCTGTTGTGAAGATGATATATGTCTGCGAACCCCTTCTGGTACCTCACCCACAAAAGGTCGCAATTTTTAATACTTTCATATGTCATAACTTGCGAAACAAGTCAGCGATTCTTTGCTATATCTACATTTTCTCCCAACCATGAACCTAAGATGAATATGAAATTTATGATTTCGCATTTAATTAGTTATAAATATACGATTTTCTTGTAATATTGCCCATACCAATCATTTTATCTGTCTTAGATGAAGTATGAAAATGGAATACTTCGGCCGATTATATATTTTAATATTTTCTTAAAATTATCACATATCTCATATAAAGTGAAGGAATATAGTCCAAACTTGACACTTCGCAATATTTATATCATATTTATTTATGTACGATGCGAAATTAAAAATATTCGCCCATTCCTTTCGAACATAATTCCATAGAGGGTCAACAATTTGAATAATCATTACAAAAGTCGAAATTTATTTAATCGAACATTGGCTGTTGGCAATACCGACTGATTCTATTAGAATTGTATAACGAAAATTATGTCTAGAATACCACGGAAGGTCTTCTGTAAGATGTCACCTATGACTATAAGACTTACAAAATGTTTTCTATACACAAAAGACCTACAAGAAGCTGTTTATGCATAGAAAACTTATAATATCTTGAAGACCGATAAACGATTATGTATCCCTCATGTTTATCTTGAAGACCGATAAACGATTATGTATCCCCCATGTTTATCCTCGCTTGTCAATGACAAATGTTGGAAAATTTCCTATGGCCGTAACGCTCTACACGCTCTATACTGCAGTGTCAATTAAAAATTCACATAAAAAGCATCCATTAATTGTTGGCAACTATTCTCAAGCGTCTTCTACTGTAGAACTACTACCTGAAGCTTCTTTAGAATCTTTAATTAATTGTAGACATCGGTCGTTGTGTTTTCGTTCCTCCTTCTTTTCAAATTTATATTCATTAGACTAATCGCATCGAGTGACTGGCGCAATTCTCAGCAACCATATAACCACAATAACAACTACACTCCCTCATTGTTGAGATTAATTTAAACAAACACACAGAAAGGAAAAATAACTAACAATAATTAAAAGTGACTGTAAATATACATATTTAAATCGCAAATAAAAGAGAAAGACAAAAAATTAAAAGATTTTTTTGTTAATATATTGAAAATTGTTTTCTATAATTAAATTAAATAGTTAATATCGAAACCAGCAGATGCTGGCCACTCAATTGACTGGCTGGCTGGCTATCGGGATGAGTGAGTGTTAATGCTATTGTCAGATGATGATGATTTCGTGTCGTAAATTCCATTGGCTTAATTTTGTTGTGTCGTGAACAAAAATATTTGTTGTTTTGTTTTTTCTGCCTGCTTATTTTAATAGTTAATAAAAATTAAAAAAAAAAAAAAAAACAAATCAAATGAAATTCATATGCACATGCACATGAAACTACTAAATGCAATACTTAACCAAACAAAATTGAATATTCTGAGGGAAGATGAGGGGTTGTCATCAGTATTCATTGTTACATGGAGCAAGCAGAAGATCCATAGGCGGTCGAGGGGCGATGGAACGGACAATTGGCATACCATCACGAAGTGGAAAAATATTTTAAATTTCACAAATATTACCAACCGCCCATATGACAAGCCAGTCAATGGTTTCACGTTTTGTTTGAATTGCATTTAAGGTGTTTTATGTCCCCCACCCATTTAAGTGTGGAATGAAATTCATTCAATCTGTAAGGGCATGTGAAAAATAATAGCAGACAAAAGTTTTTTAACGTTGTTAACAAATATTTACTTTTCCGCAACAGCAAAAAGAACATCTTATCGCATTATTTATTTTTTTCGTTTTTTGTTATTTGCAAATGGAAATATTTTCGATAAGAAAGAAAACATCAAATGTCAATTTCCTTTCACCGAGATGCACTGCAAGAAATGTATCACTAAAATGCATTAAAATATCTTCTAGAAAAAATACCTTTAAAACAACTTCAAATATGTTGTATGTTAGAAATATTTGATATATATATAAACTTATAAAGAACATAAATTGGTTCTTATATACAATAAGAACCATATGTAACCCTTAGTTTAATTAAGACTAGTTTACGCATCATATTAGAGTCATATGCAAAGAAACTTTCTCACATTTATATTAGGCATTTTATTTCATCGTAAACATAATATAATACTTTGTATTACGAATGCTATCAATATATCAATTCATACATTACTCCAAAGCTACCCTTTATATACCCTTAGCCATATGGCCAGGGTGAGATGACAAAACTGCAACCAAATTCAGACTGCTGTCATTTCTAAGCCAATCTTCCGACAGCTGTTATATTGTTTACAAAGCATTTTGGTGAGAATTTTCCTAACTCTAATTTTATGCGAGATTTCGTGTTCTTCGGTTTCTATTTGTGACCTTTATAACTGCTGCACAATCAGGACAATTTTTAGTTGTTGGTCCATTTCAACCCCTAATATATTGCAGACATCTTTGAAAACAATAGGCCTGGCCCTTCTAAGCCCAACCCTACCATTGTGAAAATTTTCGTGGGGATCGGACGATATTTGAATATAGTATCCCAACCTGTGTTGTAAGGTGAAAAATTATTACAAAATATTATAAGTCAAATTAAAAAAATCGCATGCGATAAAAAATATGAAAATATAAAAAAATGTCACAAAATACAACAAAATTTAAATTAACATCATTATTGGCATGTTTTTCTGCGTTTTTTTATTTATATACTTTTTCGTCAAGAGGGCATTCTGAATTGACAAAATTTGTCAAAATCGTATTAATATAAGCATTATAAGCATTCTAACTAACATCACCTTCCTTTGTATATACACATTGTATATATTTCGCTATATAACCGATATATTTACTATCGGCATCTACGTTACGGTCAGAATTGGCCCGTTCGTCTATTTATGATTTCGCCAGGATTAAAAATATTCGCGTTTTAATGGAAAATTTGACTTTTATTTAACACAAATGTTGTGGCCTATTTCACCCACTAAATATTACGCGATGACCATAAAAATTGGAAGGCTTCTGCCCAGTCCTAAGCTCTAGCCCCGCTTTGATTGGTCTATAATTGCGACCTGTAAAACAACTGCAAAATCAGAATTTTTCAGTTTTTGGTCCATTTCAACCCCTAAATATTATGCATTCATCTGCAAAAGAAATAGGGTTCTATTCTGACCCTAGCCCCACCTCCATTCTAAATTTCGCAAAGATCGGACTATAATTATGACCTGTAGAGTGATTACAAATTAACATGGACAGACGGACGGACGGACATACATAGGTAGATCGACTCAACTCGTCGAGATAAGAAGATCCATATATACTTTCCTATGTGGCAATCCAATATTTCGAGGTGTTACATAATTTTTGGCCCTATCAAATTTATAATACCCCCCAAACATAGTGTTGTAGGGTATAATTACTTATTTCCGACATTTTTTGCTTTCATTCAATAAAATAAAAAAAAATGTAAAAAATATGGGATTTGACTTTGTTGCAGTTTTTTATCTCACCCTGTATGATGTAAGAGTCCGATTCTCTTCAAATTACACACAATACAATATTTTTATGAGTTCACAGACTGGTGTGAAGATGGAATATGTCGGTCCACTCCTTCGGGTACCTCTCCAACAAAGGGAAACAATTTTGAATATCCATAAAACTCATAAAATGATAAACTTACATCCGATTCCATTCAGACTTTGTACATCTTAATATTTCTTTCAACACAAGATCTGTTAAAAAGATGGTAGGGATCGGACCATTTCTTCTGGTACCTCCCCCACAAAGCCTCAAAGTTTTGAATAACCAAACAAAACGATTATAAAATCCGAAAGAAGCATTCGATTCTCTACATATTACACACATCCGATTATTTCTACTAACACAAGATCTGCTATGAAGATTCCCATCTATGTGATCAAATTGGGAGATCTTCTGGTACCTCCCCCACATAGTGTTCAAGATTTGAAAAAAGATAAAGAAAGCGAAATAAGCATCCAATTCTCTTCAAATTTCACACACACAAATATTTTTGCTACGACAAGATCTGTTGTGAAGATGATATATATCTGCGAACCTCTTCTGGTATCTCAACCACAAAGGGTCACAATTTTCAATACTTTTATCAGTCATAACTTGCGAAACAAGTCAGCGATTCTTTACAACATGCTATATCTAAATATTTCTCTCAACCAGAAACCTGAGATGAACATGGAATTCACGATTGCATAAAATTGGATATGAATGTTCGAGTTTCTTGTAATTTTGCCCATATTAATATTTTTATCTGTATTATATGAAGTATGAAAATATCGAACTCGACTATATCTAGTACATCACGCACATTTTAACATTTTCTAAAAATATCTCTTATAAATTGAAGGAAGTAGTCTATATAACCTAAACCTGACACCTCTCTATATTTATATCATATTTATTTAGGTCCGACACGAAATGGACAATATTGGTCCATTCCTTCGGAACCTTCGGAATTCAGAAGTCAAAATATATTTAAATAAAGGGTGTCCCAAATGCGACATAATTTTTCATTGTATTTCGACTTATGCAGTATATTTCTTATTGTTTGAGGGCAACATACTTTTCCCAAATCCTTATCAGCTATTTTGCGAGCTTCGATTCTTTTTGATCTGCCGTAAGATAAGATTTTATTATTTGCCGTTTTTAACTTATTTTTACACATCCATCTGTTTTGAACCGTTTTATGATGTACTGAACTGTAGATCGCCTTCTGTTAACAATCCCACATATCTAACTTAGCGATTTATGGTTTTTGTAATGTTTAATTAATAAATTTCTCACTTCAACAGTGGTTTGTCCTTGTTGTCTTCCGATTTTTTTTTTAATATTTACGTTAGTAAATTACACAACCCGTTGAAATGTTTGATAAATGGGCTTTTAGGGACTTCCCTAAGTACATTTTCCAACAATCGCTTGAAGTTGGACGCAGTTCGAAACAGGGTTGCCGTATAAATGTAAGCTGTACGAGTGAGTTTAGCATTTACATAGAAATTTGGTGAGTTTTAGAATAAATTTCATTATTTTGCTAAATAAAAAAACAGTAAACTTTTGTCCTACGGCTAGTTCTAGTACCCTATAAACTAATAAAAGATATAGGTTTCTTCTGGTAGTAAATTGGATAATAATCATATATTGTGAGTGAGTTTAGCTTTAACATAGAAATTTGGTGAGTTTTAGAATAAATTTGATTATTTTGCTAAATAAAAAAACAGTTCTACGGCTAGCTCTAGTGCCCTATAAACTAATAAAAAATATAGGTCTCTTCTAGTAGTGAATTTGATAATAATCATATATTGCATGAATCATATATTGCATGAAAGAAATTTGTTTGCTAAGTGTACGAGTTTTGCTTGGAGCTACTGTATTTTTTAAGAAACATTCAAAAAAATTGACATATCAATGTTCCCAAGCATTGATGCAGCTACCTGTGTCCCTCTACCATGGACTAATATTTTGTCGCAATAACAAGCAGTCCCTCCCAATTTTAAAAACCAGATGAAAATTTTTTACACTTTTTGCACTATTGTTATCTTTTGTTCTTTGATTTCAATCACAATAATGCATTTTGACATTACATTTGGTAGTCAGCTGGCTTGACAGGGGGACCTTATACGTGGGCCATAATTGGTATGATGGGTAAAGATGAGAGAGGATATACCAAAAAGAGAATAGAAGGAAGGAGACTAGTTCTTATTACAATGTATTTTCATGGGCAAATACAATTCTAGTTTTTTGTTGTTCGGAGGCAAAGTGTATACAACGCCTTCCCCAAAAACACACTTGCATTTTTAAGCAGCATTTACGTGTATTTTTGATCAACTTAGCAATGCAAATCATTAGACAGAATTGTATTCTTCAGTGATACTTTTTTTTCTACAACTTAACCTTTTTATTAATCTTATTTCTTTAATATTCTACAAAATTTAAATGAATAAATATAAATCACACCCCGAAAATTTTTCTTATATGTGTTGAATATCTTGAAAATCCTGATTAGAATACTGTAGCAGAATATCAGGTTAAATGAAAACGTTAATTACTCGTCAAACCAAGCTATTAACCTAATAAAATGGGATGAGGTCTGTGCACTTGAAAGATTTATGCACACAATTCAAATGAACATTCACAAAAGCCTAAAGTACTGGAATTTTTGAAATTAAGCAATATAAAAAAACGATATGTAGGTCAATAGCTTATATTCGTTGCATCAATCATAACATTTTACAATCACAAAAAGGATTGTGAAAGGTTTTAAGTTAATCACCTTTTAAATAAAGGGTGGCTTAGAATAAATTTATCTATCGAGTGGATTTTAAAAATCAATTCCATTGCGCATGCGTCAAATGAACTTGACTTTCATAAACAGTGGTTTTAATTTGCCGCATGCGCAATGGAATTGACAATTCTTGGGAGCGTCTAAACGTATGCTTGAAAAGTGCTAAAAATAAATGTGAAAACAGTAACGTTGCATATAAATTTAAGATAATTGGCCTGTTCCACAACTGCAAGAATGTCAAACTTTTTACTACGATAACCTACTATGGAGGGTATATTAACTTTGTCATTCCGTTTGTAACTCCTCGAAATACTCATGTAAGACCCAAAAAAGTATATATATTCTTTATCAGCGCAAATTCTATGTCGATTTAGCGATGACCGTCTATCTGTGTGTCTGTCTGTCTGTTGTAATCACGCTATCTTTCGAACGAATCGAGATAGAAGACTAACATTTTGCAGACATGTTTATTTTGCCAGGTCCACGTTTTTGTATAGCCCCCATATAATGGTTCCTCCCTATATTCGATATTTAGATGATTTTAGCTACATGGTGGCCCGGTCGAACCTACAGCCTTTTTACTTTTTTTGATTAAAATTTTTGATAGAATCGAACAAGTATTGAAATTTATTGTGGTTGTCAGGCGAATTCAAATCATATTGACAGAAAATGTAGATATCAGCTGGTCTTACTTGTCGACCTTATAATTGGGTTGTGATACATCCCTAAGACTACACCAGCTTTCAATTATTCAAACTTGAACTATAAGACTATAGTTTAGAGTTGCATTTTCCTTTCGTTTTAAGCTACCTTACTGGTTGTGCCAAGGTCAATGGTAATAAATATTTTTTTTTTTGCAGAAAAGACTACCAACAGGACATGATATGAGGCCCCTTCTATAAGTTGTGTTCCAGAACCTACAAATTAGTACTAATTAGTGCTAATTCTGCTACAACGCGTTCCCGTACTTCAGAAACTAGCAAAACTTGCAGCTCTCTCGAGCTGGTGCTGAGTGGTGCACATTTCTGCTTGTTTTAGCTACATGATTTTGCCGACCAGAAATGTGCAAATTGTAAATTTGACATTTAATTGGCAGGGCTAACAAGGTTGAAAAATGTATTGATACATTTCAAAGTTCGCGCGTGACAACAAATATAAACTTAAAAACTAAAGAAAAACTAATATTTGTCGTGCAAAAAACAAAAAGAGAAAATATGGAGCAACTGATGTATTCACTTTTGGATGAATCCAGGAGAGAAGAGGACTGGCTGAATGAGGAATCAGACGAAGAAAATGTATTGGAAAACATTGCAAAATGAGTGCAAGGTAAATTGAAAAATTAAATTTAAAATCAAAGATGTTCGCTTATTACTGCGAACATTTTCTTTTTATTTTTTAGGTTGGCTGTCTTCCCAACTTGTGGCATTAAATCTTCTAGCAGACTTAACATTAATTTTACCGGCGCCTCCAACCATGTCAGCTTCTCCGGGGTTGGGATTTGCGAAAACTCCACCTCTAAATATTCTTAAACGCATTCTGAAAACAAAACTTTCTAAATAAACAGCATTCAAAAATAATTATTAATTTTAACTTATTTTCAATACTCATTTTTTTAAATTTTGGCGTCCATTTCAGTAAGGTTTCACCAGTCCGATTTAGGCTGTTTTCTTTTGGAATTTTGAATGTTGACATTATATCGCATTTCTGCTAATTTACCGTTCCCTTATTTTTTGAGCGCACCTAAATGAGAATAGCATTTTGTACTGTTCTCTCTTCTGCTAGTTTTACTACTAAAAAGTACTAGAACACAGCTATAATCTCTGCCAAAAAACGGGTTAGTTTTAATGTTTTACTTAAAAAAAATATTGCAACAAACAAATGTCTCTTCGAAACCAAAATTCCGAATTTAGATTTCTATCCAATGATTACACATAATAATCAAACAACTGCCAGACTAGGTATGTGTCCATTGCCCCGATGAGGTTGATTTTATTGACGTAATAATGTTAATAGGTGACCATGTATGTAATTATTTTAATGAAATCGAAAAAAAACGCCACTTTTTTAAACAGATGGCTAAATAAGTAATGGAACGGGGGAAGAAGAAGGGTATACCCCTAAAACCATCAACTTAATACAGGCCAAATATGAATAAGAGATTACAGGCGAAGACGAAACAACAAGAAAAAAATATCAACCGACCGACTGAACACAACTACAACCACAAAATACAAACAAAAAATTTTAAACAAAACCTTACAAAACAACAACAGCAAGTAAATATTAGCATTTAATATTGTTTTATTGCAAAATAAAGCGAAAGTAACACAAAATGAGCCAAATAAAGACAGGCAGACGGACGGACGATCGGTCGGGGCAAAAACATAATCATGGCAACGATCGTAGCCACGCTAAGGTACTAACGCCACCACCGACGCCGCTGTTGCCACTAATCAAAATAGAGAAAAAAACAAAAACATAAAACAATGGCCCAGCGTTGTAAACACGTTAATTTTTTCTGTTTACAACAACAACTACCAACCAAAACAAATAATAAACCAAGAAAACCTAAATTGTTTGAAAACAGCGAAAACAAAAGCCAAGGAAAAGAAAAAAATAAGCCACGCAAAAATCAAATACTCTCACACAATCTGGTGGTAGTTAACCGCCCGCCGCCTGACGCCCGACGCTTTTCGCCGATCAACTGTGTGCAATAATGAGTGCAAATATGGTACAAGTATGTTTTGATCATTCAAAAACACACACACACTCGCACAAACACAACTTACACATGGCATGGCATAATATGACGAAACACCCTGTATATGGAGATGTGAAATAAAGCCTCCAATAACAACAAAAACGGCGTCTTAGGTAAATCTGACCAACCACAAAATCCATAGAAGAAAAAAATTCCTACACACACCGTCCGGAGCTCTATCGTCAGAGGCTAGCATTATTTTTTGCTGGCGTTTTTGCATCTACGGAAGTTATTGTCGGTTGGTCAGTTTGTCATAGCCGGTTGTGTCTGTCCATCCGCCGCGTTTTTTGCAGTCTGCATATCCACTTTATTATGAATATCAAGAAAAAAAGAAACGCAGCGTAGTTGGAAAAATTATTTTGTTTTCAATTCAAATTAGTCTTAAACGAGGTTGGTATGGTGGGAATGAGAAAAAATTCAGATTTTTTCTAAAAATTGTCACTTATTTTATAGCTCATATTTATACGGACGTGTTCTCTTCAATGGACGCATTGGAAGACAACATTGAATCATTTATTCTTGAGTTACTGGCCGAAATGTTGGAAAGAGTATCCAAAATTGGACTAATCGCTATAATCATCAAAATACCGTTATATAGGGTCTATACAGAAACATGTAGCTACATAGATAATTTTCGGTGATAGAAAAATTTGAAACTTTCCCGGTGAAAAATCTGACACAAATCATTAAAACACCGAATACCTGGAGGTATAGTTATATGGGTACTATACCAAAACTTGACAGTTCTAAGGAAGGATATTTCTTACATAATGGGTGCACATGCTGCCAATTTACAGCAAATTTGGGGTTTAACTAAACTAATGGGGACTACACGAAAACGTGGACCTGTATAGCCCATTTTCAATACCAAAAGTCCTACAGAACTAGCATCGCTTTTTATCAGCCTACTTCATTTCGTTCGGAAACTTAAGTGATTTCCACAGACGGACATCGCTAAATCAACATAGAATTTTATGCTGATCAAGAATATCTATACTTTGTGGGATCTATACAAATAAATGGTAGCGTATTCATACTAAATACTAATTACATATTTTAAGCCATCCCAGCTAGCATTTGGAAGATTGTTTTTCCAAAAATCACTTTGGTGGGTCTTCTTCGAGTTATTTTGGTGATCAAAAAATGATTAACTAACTTGTATGATCGAAAAGCGACTCGAAAATAACTCTCTCCAATGAGTAAAAAGAGAGTAATTTACTATACAACATCAAAATGTATGGGAATCAAAAATCAATCATTGATATGTGCAAAATGTGACTATTATTTCGCTATTTATTATCGTATTGCGATCATCTAGAGATTGAAAAATGATTATTCTTATTCTTTGAAAAGTGATAATACTTATGCATTTTTTTTTATCATATTTTTGCACATATAAGTGCTTAAATGCTGTTTGTTTTGCCAAGCATAACGAGCCATTTCGTCGGGTTTCTGGAGTGACTATCAAAAAGTTGACTTATTGTTCATTTATAAAAAGCCAACAGTAAAAGTGTATAATATGGAAATGTGAATAAAAAAATATAAAAAGTGTACGATTATCTGTTTTTTTTTTATTTATTAATTTTTCATTAAATATATTTTTTTCCTTTTTTAAAAAAAAAATAGAAAATCTAAAATGAAAAGGATGACAAAAAAAGTATTTGCAAGCCTTTGATGAATTGAAATAATACAACACTTAAATAATTTGTAAGTATAGAATATTTGCCTTTGATTGATTAATTCAATACTTTACAAAATACTCATATAATTTTTATAATCTATTTCCAGAAAGAGTTTATTGCAAAAACCGTTGGTGAAGGCCCCACAATTTCTTCAGGCTGCCGTTCGAAAGTTTGTTTCAGATAATTTAACCTGCCAAAACAGCTGGAAGTGGACAGTCTAAAGTCGAGTGCAGAAAATGTTATTTAGTGACAGTAATCAAAAGTTTGTCTTTTTAATACGTATATAAAGTATTAGTAAAATGGACAGATTTGTAAATATTTTATTTCAGATATTTGTTATCTCAAATAAACTAGCAACGACAGGGATATGAACACAGACCTTGAGAAACATTTTGTTCACACAAGAGACCTAATTACGAAAAAAAAAAAAACGATCCCATTAAAGTTTCTGATTTCTTATTTTTTGATTTTTTTCCCTAGTCCAGCAAAAAATTGCATTTATTGAAATTAAGAATGAAAGAAAATATTAGTACAAATTATAATTATAGAAGCTTAATTATTGATTGTAGAATCGTAAACACTAATGTAAGACTCAGAAATGACTCGAATTTAAGACAAAGGTGACTTAAAAAAGAATCGGAAATGAAAGTACACATGGGTGATATATGACACTTAGAAGACTAAAAAATTAGTCACTAAGGACTCATAATTGATCAAAAAACAGTTAAGCAAAGGCTATAGTCGTGCGGGGACGACCATGTGATACCCTACAACACTACAATATGTCAGAAGCCCCGTTATGTCCAAATCCATTTTCGCTTTTGAAATTAGCATTTTGACCAAGGACATTAGGCCAATATTTCCGCACTACGTCGTGCTGTTAGTTGTTGTGGTCCATTTTACAGCTAAATATAATCCAATAGCCCCACATTTTGGTTCATTTGAACCCTTAAATATTTTGGGATCATCTCCAAAAGCAAGATGCGGCTCTGTATCTCCAAATTTAGTCTCACATATACAATTAGCTTGTCTTCGATATTTGCCCATATTCGTCAACGAAAACAGCGTTAAAAAGCTAGAAGTTCTCGTTTGTGCATTTTTGATTTCGCATGCAAGTTATTTTCAACGTTTCGGTAGAATGGAAATGTTGGTATTTTTTCACGCAAAAGTAATATGGACCACCCGCTGTCCTAAACTCTAATTTCATGCCAGATTTCTTGTTCTTTTGTTTCTATTTGTGACCTTTATAGCGGCTGCAAAGTCAGGAAAATTAGTTGTTGGTCCATTTCAAACCCTAAATATATTGCGGACATCTTTGAAAACAATAGGCCTAGCCCTTCTGAACCTAACCCTACCCTTGTGAAAATTTTCGTGAAGATCGTACTGTAATTGCAATAAATCCGATATATTTACTATCGGCATCTAAATATTACGCCATGACCATCAAAATTGGAAGACTTCTGCCCAGCCCTAAGCTTTAGCCCCACGCTAACTTCCGCTTCGATTGGTCTATAATTGCGACCTGTAGAGCAACTTCAAAATCAGAAAAATTTTCAGTTTTTTCTAAATACCATGCGATCATCTCCAAAAGCAATAGGATTCTAGTCTGCCTCTAACCCACTCCATTATAAATTTCGTGAAGATCGGGCCATAATTGCGACCTGTAGAGTGATTACAAATTAACATGGACAGACGGACGGAAGGACATACATAGCTAGATCGACTCAGCTCGGCGAGATAGGAAGATCCACATATACTTTCCTATATGGGAAACCAATATTTCGAGGTGTTACATAATTGTTGGCCCAATCAAACTTATAATACCCCTAACACATAGTGTTGTAGGGTATAATGACTTAACTACTCGAAAAAAATTCACAAACTAAGAGTATTAGCGCAATAATACTTTTACTCAGAAAATGGAAAAAATACTCTTAATTTATCTAGAAGAAGATTAGAAGAGTCGCGTGATGTCACGTTTTTCTCCCAACAAATGTGTATTTTATGATCAGAAAATGCGCTCACATTCCAGCCTTTTAACCGCGCAACTGGTTCAATAATGACTCGAATATGATTAAAAAATTCAAAAAATCCTGAATGGGATGTAAATAAAAATTTCAAAAAGTGCTGACTGGGTAGTTTTAAAAAAGTTTTGTTTGACACTGTATGTGACTTTGGAGTGTAGCTCAGTACCAATGTTAAAACCCATTGTAAATCTGGATTAAACAATAAATCCTGACGAACTTTTGTATT